CCGGCCAGGGTCAAACCACGACATTTACAAAGCATCTTCCTTGCACACTAAAAATCCTGAAGGGAGTATCTGAAATTTTCACTGCATACCTAGCAGTTTAAGAGCTGTTCTTCTACCTGTAAAATCTACATGAGACCTTCTTTTTACAAAAGAAAAAAAGGCAACACACCCACGCAAACTAGGATTTCAAAGTAGGGGGGAAAAAAAAACCTCCTCTAACACAGTTTGAAGTATCCCAGCCTATTTACAAAGAACAAAACAAAATAAAACACAATTTTGACACCAGTAGCTTGCTAAGAGCCATACTGTTAGGAATTTGTGTGCCACTTCTAGAAAGTCAGCGTAATGAAGTGAAAAAAAAAGTGAGCTGATCAGTGAGTGTCAGCCTAGATATTCCACATTCTCTGGGAACAATATGCCCTAAAATTAGAATATTTTTTTAAGCCATTAACAGAAATAATTACTATGAGTTTGCTTACCTTGAAGTATTCTACAAGATCTCTACAGGTCACCTTGGATCCACTAATCTCTTTTTCTACCAAGTTTTCAGGGGCAAGCAGTAATGGTACCAAATTCCGCAGTTCTTTCTTAAAATCCTCATCTATATCTAGTAAAATTCAAACAATTTCAGGGGAAAAAAGAGGTTAGTTTACACTTCTTAAAGGAATACTGATAACCCATGGCCCTTCAAAATCTGTAGCATCACAACTTGTGACAGCATTTTTAAGTTATATAAAGGCTTAAATACACAGCATAGCTTGAGTAAGTTCTACCTACTCTTAAATTTAACTTCAGACTCAAAGTTCTATAGTCCTCATAATACCTAAAGTGTGTTTCCCCAACTACGCCACATCTTACACAATAATCCCACAGGTCTGGGACCTCAGCACAGACGTGGTTGGCACCTATTGCAAACCCAGGATTTCAGCCCATGCAATTCCGATACCCCCTCTCTGTTGCACAGCAAGCAGCAATTGAAGGAATCCCGATTGCCTCTCATTCTGCAGTAGCAGAAGCCTACAGCTTTTATTTTAAAGTCATTCTAGTTCCAAACCTTTGCTTTAGCAAGTTCTTAAGAGAAAAGCCTTCCGATTTTAAGTCTTTAATTTTGTGAATTCTCCCCTCTGGAACTCTTATTTATCTTCAGAATCCTTATTTAATGACCTTGAAGTATCTCTCAAGTTGACAGATTACAATCAAAAGCTAGATGCAAAAATATCCACTCCCTCTGCCTGCTTAATTCCTTTTCCTTTAAAGCACTGAAAAGAACACACAATGCCCGTTTCTAGATTTTATAGTTTCACTTTTTAGCCCTATATCTTTCCAATCAAGCATTTCAAGGGCCAACCATTTTTGTCTACAAAAGAAAATAAGTTCAGTTATCTGAATCAAGAAACACACAATGAAAAGCTTCCTACCATTCAACCTCCCATCAAAATTTGGATTTGTTGCAACTTTAAGACCAGGGTGGGGCAACAGGAAACAGCCAAGATTACTGAAACACGAATGAATATGCTTCCTTACATTCTGTAGCTCTTCATGTTGGTTTTGCTTTACCTAAATTTAAAAAAAAAGGCAGTAAGAACTGCTAGTAGTTTTGCAGTACTGCAATTAATATTAAAGATAAGCTTAAAAACAGTAAGAGCACAAAAGTGTGTTTAAGTTTTCATTACTGAACCTAGAAATGCTAAGTTCTAAACCCTAGAACTCAGCACACAAGTAGGAACATCACAAGTGTATTTTATTAGCACAGAGTGAGCTCACCACACAGCATTATCTTGACAGTAAGTTGTCCCTTAGAAGATCACAGTAGGACTACTGGAGATAACTTACCTGCAATCTTTTCTCTAGGAACTTTTTTCCTCCTTCCAAGCCATATGCATGTTCATAAGGATAACTCCAATCTCTAATTAAGAACATTAGTGTCTGTAACAGGAAGAACAACAGTAGTGAATGGCTGGCATTGTTCTTAAGGTCAAAAGTTCTCACATAGGTGTGATTATTTAAGTAAAAAGAATTTTAAGTTTGGCTGCTCTAAATGAAGTAGCCTTGCAGATTTGTGGTGCAAGTGTCTGACTGTTTAAAAAGAAAAAACAACCCACAAACAACCAATCAAACACCAAACCCACACATCAAGCCCACAAATGCAACTCACTCCTTATCTGAAAGGAAGGACTCAAGTCTCTCAAAAAGACAGCTTCCCTGATCCATAAGTTTGCCTTTTGCTATAGACAGGGCTTACACTGTCCTCTCTCCCATCAGCTGAAGACAGAAAACATACCTTGACATTACTCTCATATCGGACAAGGTGCTTTATAAAGAATGCATCTTGCCTGGGCCAGTTAAAAGAACACTGGGGACATAGGCTTGCAGGATGAATATTCTAAAGATACAAGGTCTTAAAACTCACCATTAACAACAGTCAGCTAGTACCCTTACAGGCTAAAGAGGATACTTCAGGATGGATGAGATGTCAGTCTGTCTCCACTAAACATAAAAAGCCTCAAGCCCTTCTCTGGCCTAGCAAACAGTCAGGAGATGCTAGCAGTTTTGAGATCAATTGCGTAAGACCCATTTCACATACACAGTTACCTGAAACGGCTTTTGGTAAATTTCTTCCATAGCTAGTCTTCCATATTCTGTAAACAACTGATAGAAAGAAGAACGTAAGGGTGCCACATATAAAACACATTTTTTTAATGGAAAATATTCTGTTACATCACTGGGAAATAAAGCATACTTCTTAAATCCTACTGTGGGTTGAGAATGGCCAACACACCTCAAGAACAAGTACACCAAGCCTCAGCAGAAGTCAGGAAGGAGACACGATTTCCACTGGTTTCACAGTGCCATTCCAGAACTGTCAACACACCGCAGCTCCCAGTGCGTGGCCTGTGGGCTACCGTGTCTCTCGGCAAGCCAGTTTCCAACATTTGTTTCCTAGGCTAAAGTAGGTAAGGCTTGCTAACCTTACTTCCTACTTAAGATTTATTCCCAGAAATCTCAAGGAATTTGGCTACAGCCAATGTATCGGGCATCTAAGTACAAGCTAAGTTCAGCAGCATCCCAGATCTCTGCTTTGGCCTAAGTCTTAACTGATAATTGTTCTTTCCTTCCAGCATAAAGGCAAGCATCGGCTCTCTTCCTTTCACTGCTTTCACCACCTTTAATACCAGCAGCAGCATTTTTCACAGGACCCACAAAAACAAATTACAGACTGTGCTGGCTGTTTCAGCAGAGATCAATAATGTCAGGCTGTTGACTCATGCTAGTCCCCTTACGGATCTTGGAGGTCAAGACAAAGGAAGCACATCCGTATCCTCTAGTACCAAGCAACTGATCCTCTGTATTAAAGCTAACTCCTGAAACATGCCAGACAAATTTCATGGTTAAAGAGACAGATCCCCCTGTGCTGATCACAAGAGCATCTAGGAACCTTAAAGACTAATTTAACAAGTTCCCTTCCAAGCCCTTGCCACTCTGAGCAAAAGCAGCTCTGAAATGGCCAAGCACCCACATGAGATCAAGTCCTTTGTTCCTAACTCCCTAACCCATTCCCTTACTGCTGCATGGAAAACGCAAAAAAAGACTAAGAGTATTTCAGAGGAACAGAAATTCCTGTCAGAACAAATTCAAAATGTCTTTCCCTCAGCCCAGAATTCCTTGTTCGAACTTTAAATGCATGGGTGTCCCCTACACAGTGCTTGTATTTATCACCTCTTCCCTTCCCTCCAATCTCACCCTCCAGTATACCAAAAGGAATGGCTCTATCCAGATTGCACCAGGGCTGTCAAAAGACCAAGGCCACAAGGAAAGCCTGGCTTTCAACTAATTAGCTATGGCTTTTTTCCATTTGCAGTGCTTGGTTGGGGTTTTTTTGGGGGTGGTGGCCCAGTGATACAACTCTGTTAACTGAGAACAGCATCACAAGACTATGATTAGTTAGTGCTCTTCGACTTCCAGTACTGGCAGCCCGTCTTCTGCAGCCCTGACCAAGACAGAAGTCCTTTCAATCAGAAGACATGTAAAACAGTTTTAAGCTGCGACAAGGTCATGGCCTGAGCACAGGCAGGCATTTGTTAATACACAAGCTAGCCTTTAAAGCTACAGGTTTTAAGTTAAGGAGATAAGGTTCTTGCACCACTCACATGAAGCCAGAATTCAGTGGCCTTTGACCACAATGTTCCATTAGAGGATGAAAACCCCACAGTAACTCTTTCCTGCTTTTGTTTCTAAGCAGAAACAAGAAGTTTCTCAGTTGAAAAACTGGAAAAAACTTCTGGGTAGAATGTACTCTTTCTGTTTCTTTAGAAATGGGTTAGGAAAATACTTTTCCTATCTCAGGGGAAAAAAAAAAACTGACACTGAAATTTTCTCATTATGTACTTTCATAAAACATTTTCTTTCTTCATCCTTTTAGGAATTTCAGAACTTATCAAATAGATAGCCTTTAGAAAGGTAAGATTTAGCCAGCTTAGAAGCCTGTGCCATTTTACCTCTATGCTGGCACAGCATAAGTATCACAGCATCATGGAATTGATGTGAATAATGCTGTTTAGGCAGGACTAGTTTTAGCATCAGATGAGCTTCAGTGTTTTATATGAAGTAGCAAGCAGCTCTCAAATCAGTTACATTAGTATTAACTTCAAGGCCAACAGCTTAATATAAATTCTGCATGTTCTTACCTGCAAATGTTGAAGGTCATCTTCCTGAATATTCTGGGACAAGTTGTATACCTGCAAGAGACAGTAAAAGAACTAGTGTAATGGGAAACCATTATCTTACGCTCATGTAGTCTCTTTTAGAGTATTTTTACCCTCTCCAGAAAAGTCTAACTACTCAAAAGTAGGTGTTATAAAATGAATCTACAAAGTCACTTCCTTATACAAAGTGCTAGGGACAAAAGTACTCCTGACTACCCTAATCCTTCTTGGAAAAGCTTCTTTCTACAGAAGCAAGACATAAAGGACCCAAAGAAGACTGCTGAATATTTCAAATCACCACATAGGTGCGAGACAGGAGGACGAAAAAGGGTACATCTGTTGCCGTCCTCAAGTCCAAGCACTCCAGCATTCAGTGACCCAGCAGCTACATCTCTGACACAGAAAACACCGGATAGTTAGTTAACCTGGTTTGTTGGATGTTTTTTTCAAGTCTTCCTAGAGAAATCTGATTTTATCTAGGGAGCTTGTGACTGTTTCAATAGCACAAATACTGAACAGCAGTAAACTCAAAGATGCATCAGTAACCCACAACTTACCCTAACCAAACAAACAAAACACACCAAAACCAACCCCAAAGGGCAGTAGTAGTGTTCCACATACTCTTGTTACTTCCATGTTGTAGCATGTCTGAAGAAATTCAATTGTCATCCCTCAAAAATCTGCTAGTTCTGGCACATTTAAGGCACAAACCTTAAAAGCAGTTTTCGACATAGCACAAGAGAGTTATCAGAAGTTTAACAGTAGCAACAAGTGCAAGTTTAGCTGGTCACAGTGTAATTTTACTGCATACTCTATCTAATAAAAGTCTTAAGGAAGATCCTGTAACATATTTGTACAGAAGCAGTTGTTACTGCAACATCTTTTTGGGAGGATTCCCCAGTTCAGTCAGCAATTTTACTCAGCTTGGCCTTGGATAACCTTGATTCCACAGAGAAACTCATGTAGTATACTACACTGAAAATAAAAAAAAAGAGAATCATGAAAGGTTTAACCTTTCAGGTTGACCTTTCATGCTTCAAGTAATTTTCTTCTCTTTCAGGCAGGTGGACTTTCAAAGCATGGCTAGAGAGATACTCTTTGCATGCTCAGGATGGAGCTGTTCCTGCAGATGCCTTTATTTGTGAGCACAGGTATTCTCACCTGGACAGAACTCGTCATGGTGCTCAGAGCAAAAACCGTCGCACAGTCTTTGATAGTGGATTGGCTATCAAAGGCACCTTGGGTATCCATGAGTAGTACAGCAACCTAGAGAGTTTCAAAAAGTAGCAAAAGTTAACCAAATTGTTAACCCTTTCAAACTCCAGGCCATTGCTCAATTAGAGCAAGCATCTGCCTCTACACCTACTTATTAAACCTCAGTGAGCTCCCTGTGCACAGCTGCAGCTGAGCAGGCAACAACTAGAGGGTCATGTCATCAGCCTTTAAGTCTTTGGCCTTGCTACACTAGTTACCCTCTCCCACTGAAATAGCCTCCCTCAGCCCAGTGAGATGTAGTGCAGAGTAACAGACAGCTCTTATTCACTGGAAGAAGTTCAGCCTCACCTGAAGCTCTAATGAACTTCAGCACAGTTCATGAGACCTAAGAGGGAGATGGTTACTTTTAAAAATGTATCCATCTTAAAATAATAATTTTCAGAAGGAAAAAAGATAATTGGTACAGTCTGTTGGAATGGCAAAGAATGAAGTGATCTTAATGATAAAAGGTAATTTGTCCAATTCCCATCTTCGGAATCTACTGTAATTTTCTTCTCTTTCAGTTAGGGATGACCAATAAGCAAGAATAACTGATTTGTACCCACAGCACATTCTTGACACTTAATTGTTTTTTATCCAGAGAACTGTTTGGCTAGCTATGAAACTTGATAAAATTCATTGCATGCCCCTAAACCACTGGTTAAGGTGTCCCATATTAATTGACCATCAGTTTCCTTCGTAAATGCAAACAGTATGAAAGTTAACTAACCAAGAACTTATGATTCAGGAGAACATGAATAGCTCAAGATACACCACCAGTATTGTGGAATAAATACTAACAATATTATCTTCATTCTGAAACAAAGCATTATAACACCTACAACCAAACTTTGTAGTTAAACTGACTCTAGAGTTAAAAAAGACGCACCAGCTTTGATTATTAGAATAGAGTTAGTGCCTTTTATCACACTGTTAGACTTAATCCGTTTTTATGGACTATCTGTTAGACTGTATGGAAGGAAGAACTTCCAGACACTGACGCCATTTCCAGTACTTACAGCCATGCACTATTAGAACACAGCTACAAGCCAGAACACATTCTTATCTCTCAAAATCCCAATGTTTGTTACAGAGCAGTTGTATTTATAGCCATTACAGTTTTACAACATCCACAGGGCAACCCACCCACCAGCCCGGACAGAGTACTCTCAGCCAAAACAAAGTACTCTCAGAATGGGACTATTGTTGGAGAATGAATCTTAGAATCCAGCAGGAAAATTCATACTTTGCACTGATAGAAGGTTTCCAAACATGCTATGCAACTACTGAATACAAAGGAAAGCAACTCATGTTTGAACTGCCTCCATGAAAACCATGGCCTTAAAGGTATACACACAGAGGCAAAAATCCTTACATACACCCATTTAAGTCAAGCACTTACCTTTGTTCCGTTGGGTTTATCAATTACAAACACTTCGCTCCAAACCTGAATGCCAGTGGTTTCCCGTTCGCATCCACCTCTCCACGTAAATCCAGTCAATGGTTCAGTGTTTCCACCTATCCAGCAAGGAGAAGTCTACAAAACAAGAGGAAACTCATTTAAAACCAAGGAAACTTTAAACATGCCACATTTCAGCAGACTTCCACACTGTTCTCTAATTTTCTTCAAAGCAATTGACAACACTACACAATATTACAATACCACACTAATCTTCTGTGCTTCAAGGATCATCCACAAAGAAATGCTGTTCAAGTATACTGTATTTTAGCAGGTGCACAACTCTTCAGCCACTGAAGAGTATATGTACACAGCTTTCAAGTCTCAAGCACTCAGAAGTGATGATGAAAGTTCAGTTTCATCTATGAACTCCACTCTGCATTCATGCTCTTCTCACAGTTGAGAGAACTGAAACATAGTTTTACTTTAACTACAGGAACAGCTAAACCTCTGCAAGGAACCGAAAAAAACCTGATCTTGACTTAATCCTCTCCCTTCCCCCTCATGAACAGGTCAACTCCTCAAAGCAGCTAAGCCCCTGCACTAACAGAGGACAGCACAAGACCCCCAACACCAGCTTGCAGAAGCCAAATAGGCCCCAGGACCAAAAGGTACACAATCTGTACTTGTCACAGTTATAAAACTACAGTTCAGGAGAAAAAGTCATGTTAATAGTTTGCTGCATGTCAATCAACACATTCATATTAAAATTTCATTGCCACGTTGTCTACTTCAGGAAAGGCTATCAGAGTCAAATACAGTTTATGGCTGATGGTACTGTAAACAAGATCTTCAGTCCTCAAGACAAGCAACACAGAGCAGTGGCTTACACAGAAGAATCTAGCCATTACATGTGCGCATTTAAACCCAGTGTAGTTTACATACTAGGTAAGTAAGGAACACAAGCAAGTACTCTGAGGAAGTTTCACTGTGACAGATTTACAGACACAGAAATCTTATGAGAAAAGTTGTAGGCAGACAACAGTTTAAGTGTTGAGGGGGCTTAGAGAAAAACACCTTTAATTCACAGGCTAGAATACAGTATGCTGGCAGAACAGAAAGATACATTTAATGAATTTGCCTCCGACTACCCAGAGAAGCTTACCAGCCAGGAAAGTGTGCTCTTTGAGAAGGTCAAAGGGGAGACTTCTCGGTTCACTAGGCTGTGGTCTTTACCTTGTTGACTCTGTACTGGTAGCTTTCAGAAAAGAGCTCAAGACCCATCTCGGAAGATAGGAGCACCCCATGGCTGTACAGAATAGAAATACTTACCACAAATAAGTGAAACTGCTTATTTCTAAAGGGGGATCAGAAAAAAACCTGCACACATTCCTTGTACCTAGCAGCACACTAAACAAACCACACTAACAGGGAAAGCAAATGCAGCCGTTCCGCACCAGCATTCTCCCAAATGCTACATGCACAATTCAGCTCTCCTATCTGAGCAGCTAAAATTCAGAAATTGAACACAAGTATCCCAATGCAGAGAACATCAGATCGTTACAGATAGGTTGTTTGGGATTTGATTTTTTATTTGGGTGGGGTTTTTTTGGTTGCTTTTCTTTTGTCATGCCCATTAACCTCTACCAGAATAAGCAAAACCTAAACAACTTTCCTCTGGCATTTTTTATCCCAGAAGATCTTTTGAGGTCCCTTCCAACACCTAACATTCTGTGATTCTGTGAAGATGCTTATGCATCCACTGACCACTCTAGAAACTAAAGCTCCAGACCTGCTTTGGACTTCAGTACACTCCAGGATATAGTTTTGCAATGCTGAATCATATCTCACAGGTATATGTTCATGACCTGTAGCTTTTCACAAAAGAACGTTACATTAATCAATAATGTATTATTCCATCTGTCATTCATACAAGAATACTTTTTCACAGTTTAGTCCAGAAACTATCCTTATTTGTAGCAATTCAGACCAAAACCACATAAATATTTTTATAAGTCCCTCAACAAGCACTAGATATAGTCACATTTGATTTCATATGATTCATGTCACCAGAGACTTCAGTCTTAAACAGGCACAACTTCAGCTGAAGCTGCTTCATCTTACAGATGACACACTTAAGCTTGTCTCTAGTAACCTTTGCATTAGTTTAAAGCACTCCTAGCTTGTTACCCTAGTTAAAAACTCAGTATTAAAATTCAGGCTCCATCCAGCAAGTTGGCTTGAAAGATATTCAGGAAATGAGAGGGAAAAAAACCTGACATTGTTCTTATACTAAACCAAGTTAAAGTCGCACTACAATTTTGTTTCAGTCACCCAGAAGATAACCTCTCTAGATTCTACGTTAACAAAAGTGAGAATGCAGCTTTATTTGCAAAGTGCTGTTAGCACAGAGTGCACCTTGCAGATTAATACAAGCTAAGAAGGTCATACCCTGTAAAAAAAGCTTTTAAATCTAAATTTACTAGTGTTACTGCACCTAACTCTTAATAAGGCTTAAACTGCAACAAAGATCACAGAATCCTTGCAGCAGCCTCCTCAGTACACAACTGCTGCTGTTTTGCGGCAGATTACTTTGTTCTATTTCAAATGAGCAAACACAGCACTAAGTATCAATGCTTAAATGAGGCACCTACCTCCCTGAAGTTAGTGACCATGCCAAAATCCTACCTGTGACTTCAACTGGCACAAGTGGTATTTTTAGAATGTTAAGTTCTCACATGACCTTCAGCTCTTGGTTTAATACAAGAAAATGGAACTCTGAAGCATCTTGGCAAGGTGTTCATCATGCATGTTAACACCCACAGAGGAGGATAACCCAAAATTGTTTGATTAGTGTATGAACCAAATGCAGATGGTTTTAGTATTTTCTTCAGGATCCAATATTTAGTTAACAGAAAATACAGACTGAAGATGGAGTTGTCAGACTGAAGCATCCTGTAAACCACACTAAGGTCTCCCCTCTTGTACTGAAAACTGCTTAAGCATCAAAGATACTATTTGACTGCATACAACTCAGCCATGCTCAAAAGAGAAGACATTGCACTTACCTTCTCCCAGCCCCAACTCCCATCAATCAGTTTGCCATAGCTCTGATGCTTGTCAAAATCTTTCCCTGAGCCAGTTTATGTCACCGAGCTGACAAGTAAACAATACAGCAGAATGCAGTGTCTTCTGATGCATCACTGAGTTGAATCAGCTCAGCTAAGGGCCTGCAAGCATTACAGCTTCAGAATGCAAATGCCTGGCCAGAAGCAGCACATGGAGAGCAAGATCTCTCTGCTTATGGTAAGAGACAGTCGTTACAGTGGAAGGTCAAGCTTGCCTTCATCCTCAGTTTAAATGATACTGATGGTATTTCAAAGGACATGGAAAACTGAAAAAAGCAATTGCACAATAAAGTGAACAGAGAGGCAAGGTATTACACAGGGCTGAAACTGTTTCACTCCACTCTGCTTTGTGAACTTTTGTTTTAGATTACAATCTGAAAGTTTGAATATTCACTTAAAGGCCACACCTTATATTTTTTGAAGGAATTCACACTACCTCCACCCAGCCACCATCTAAGCTCAGATGGCTATACTTCAGATTTTCTTCTTTTTTTTTTCTTTTTATTATAAACAGGGTATAAAATATAAACAGAGAGGTTTTATATACAAACACAAAAGGCCACCCACTTGAAGAACTATATCAAGGACATTTATTCCTCCCTAGGTCAAGAGTCTTAAGAAGTTGGAAGTATCAGCTTGCTTCTCTGTATTCCTCCTACTCATATCCTCAGTGTCTTTCTTAAGAGTTCTTGACAGAACAGTGAGAAAAATTCAATAGCAAGCTCAACTGGGAGCAAGAGAAAAATCTTCACCTGCCAACTATTAGGAGCTTCTCTGCAACACTGCCATATTTCCTCCAACTGTGGGGTTCATTGTGATTGCCTCTCAGGCTAGCAAGCAAAAAGGCAAAATAGATGCAGTAGTGGTTAGTTACTGCTACTGCGAATTCCAGCTACAGTGACAAAAATCAGTTCTGCTTGATTTTTTTTAAAGAGCTTCAAAAAGCAACAAAACACAGAACTGTCAACATTGACTACACAGATTAAGAGAAACATACCACAACCATGGACAGGCAGATGTGTATGCTCACAGGAAACCCTACTCCACCTTTTCCGTATTACCAAAGGATTCAAAGTGTAACAGACACAAGACAACATCAGCTAACAAACTAAAAAGAAGAAATCAAATTTTGGATGGAGCATTCATTTATAAATTACTTGAAAGGATTTCAATAGTTCCTAGATTATGTTCAGAGACATATTCCAAGTAGCAAACAGGAGACTTTCTCCTTTTTGCCATACCTCATATTTAAGCAGATCTCCAACTGCTACCTGGCAAGACACTTTTTGCAACAACGGGTAAACTACTGCTACAATACAATTTCAGCAGATCAAGTCAAAGCAAGATTCCTCCAAGCCACTAATTAGATGAGCCCTTCCCCAAAGCTCAACTAACAGGCCACCACACTCTCTCATTCTTCTCATGACCACTTACACTTGGATATCAATAAGTTTCCTTGATACCTGCTCAAAAATTTATTCCAAAGAACTGTCACTTAAATACATTTCTTCAGAGTAGTAGCAGAGTAGCTGGCTTCACCATGCCCCAACAAGTAAGAAAAAAATTACCTGCTACATTTGTGCTCTAGTCAACAAATACAAGGATAAATTACTAAAATAACAAACTAAACTACTTTTTCCCTGCAGAGAAAATTCAAATTACTCACCCTGTTATACATGTATCTAAGCATGAAGTCCAGAAGAAAAGATTTTCCTTTGCGGAAAGCTCCTGCTACAGACACAACTACGATGTTAAGATCTTTGATGTGCTCCTGAAGCAAGATTTTTTCCAATGCTTCTTCATCTAATTCAAAGTTATGGTCATCTTCATGAGCAAGAACAATCTGTATGGGACGCGGCTTATCCAAATCCACCTCGTCATCCGAGTCTGGCAGGGCATCTGAGTCAGGTAAGGTATCCTCCTCCTCTTCTTCCTCATAACGCTGACCTGCAAATTGACAGGTTACAATACAAAAATAAGTCAGAGTTTAGGACACTACACATTTCTTTAAAACGAAGCCTTGAGCTGGGCTTCTTTCCCAACACTAAAAGTGATTTCTTGGGAGTCCACACATAGAGACAATTAGATCAACACCAGTTCCCTGTCCATTTCCAGCAGCTTTGCATATAGTCTACATCTCAGATCTTCAGCACTCTGCATTTTAAAAATTCACACAATAAAATTGTTTTTCAGCCTGTTTAAAGGCTTCTTAAGAATAGCTTCCATTAAAAATCAAGGACATTTTATTTGGAAAAAAATAATTAGTTTAAAATAAGCTCCAAAGAGGACCCAAAAAGACCATTTTTAGATCAGCATATCCTTACACTATTGTAAGGGGACAAAAAGTTTTTTTGTCAGTTTTGCTTGCCAACATGTAGAAACAAGGCCACTGATCATCTAGTATGTAACCCCAGGATTACATACACCAGCAGATGACTTAAGCTCCTCCCTAATTCCACCTGTTTTATTTTTTAATACAGCACAGATTTCAGAGTGCCTATTTGCTTCTTGCAAGAGGATAAACTCCTGAGCATGCACAAGGACTAAGATTCCTGAGAAAAGGAAGACACAAGTAGTTTCTGATTTCATACTCTTCCTATAAACACATTATTAAGCAAGATCTAATAACAGTAAGCACCAAGTCTTTCAAAAAGAGTTAAGAGAATATTTTATATACAGTTTAAGAATCAACACCCTTTCAGGATCAACTGATAGCTGAAGGAAGTATAACTCTAGTGAGATTTAAATTATTAATGAACAACAAATTAAGTTAACACAGCTCTTCAGACACAGACCACAATAGTACCAATATTCTGTTCTCCTGACTTCCAGAATTAGGAAAATATTGGGTTAGAGGCCTAAAGGAAAACAAAACTGACACATCCCAGATGAAGACTCCTCTGTTGTTCAAGTATCACAACACTGAAGTTTGTCCCACAGCAGAACCAAACTCAACCACTAGCCTGATTCCATTTTTCCTCTCAAACATCTGGAAGCGTTTTTGTGCTTACAGAATTGCCTCCAAGTCCAGATTCAGATTTTGCCATATTCTATCAAAACATCATGTGCACAAGCCTGACTGAAGCACTTTCCTACCAGTTACTTATCTGAGAACATCACTGTACGAATTTCACTACGCTGGACTGACAGTTATGCTGGCATTTCCAAGCATTGCTTTAATGACGCCCAAGAACAGCCATCTCCAGTTACTTGATGTATTGCGCACACGTACATTACATGGTCCCCCACGATTCCTGAGGCAGCAGCCCAGAAGCAGTGTTCTCTTGCAGGATGTGTCAGGAGGCACCATGGAACGTGCCACAGTTCAATTCATTAGGGGCTGAGACTCTGTCAATACAGCACCTGCCAAGTCACACTTGACAGACTTCGCATCCTAAATACCATTCTCAGCAAGAGACTTATGAACAGTGCTCCACTACACTGCTCTGTGGATGTAACAGACAATTTATTATCATAAACTTGAAAAACTGGTAACACAGTGACCCTGGAGATTTTCCAGCAGTTGTCTCTTTAGTGAGTTCTGACATGTCACTTCACTGCAAATCAGAGAGGACATTTCCATTTCTAAGTACTGAATCTGTGCCGCCTGAAAAGCCAGTGGCACTAGATCTTAAAAAAAAAAAAAAAGTTTGACTATATGAAACTAGTGTAGTACTTGGTTTGAAGAAGTAAACTTGAATGGTTAAATCCTAAGCAGCTAAAACTAAGCTTCAGCATTATCTCTGAGTGGACATGCAAAATAGTCCCTAGCATTACCTTAACTCAAGCTGCTTGACAAAGCAGGCCAAAAAATTGAATTTCACCACCAGGCCTGACAAGCGGAAGGAAAAACTTTAAAATAAACACCCTCAACAGGACACCAAGCTATACGAACTACACTGACACAACGCTGGTCACCACTTCAGAAGAAAAACTCTCACTTTTGGACTAAAGTTTTTATATTCCCAGAAATTAAACACTCTTTTAAAAAAGAGAAACATAAAGGGAACAGTTCTATTGATAAAAGCATTAAGATTAAATATCTCCAAGAAAAGACACCTCTGTTTCTGCAAACAGATATTCCCACAATGTATCAAAGCCTTTGCTTCTATTTATTGCCCAGGCAACAGGTTTAACTTGATTACTTAAAACCACCTTATTTTAAACACATATATGATTGCAGCTGCAGTACAATATTAGTTTTGTAAACTACAGTAGACTGTAAAATAATCTAAAGCAACATCTGCACCTTCTCTTGGATTCACTTAGAGTCTGACACTGACCATCTTTTCCTACCTGGAAGTCACCAGAACTTTAGCAAACCTTAAAGTGTAAGTTGTAGCAGCATCCTTTCACTAGTGCTGAGCACAGCCTACCAAAGCATCTTCAAGACAAGAAGCTTTCCAAACAAGGCGAATGGTTTCTTATCATTAGTTATTTCTAAACAAGTAGATCGTCCCTATCACAAGTAGATAGTACTACCAAGAGCTTACACACCATAAGCCCATTAAAAGCTCACAATGTCTTGTTAATAGTATTCTGCACCCCTGGAGCTCACTTAGCTCCGAGGGTACAGGACAGAACACTCGTCTTGGGCCTGTTTGATTCCTAACAGATTTCACTTACCAGCAAGAACTGGAAAGTCAAGTCCAGAGCATCAAATTTGGTTTTTTGTTTGTTTTGGGTCAGGTTGGTTTGTCAGCTAATATACATGAAAGCTCCCAACCCTACCTACAGAAAAGATCATCACTGCCATGAATCAAACACTTCCAAGGGTGGAGAACCACAGTGCTGACAACTGTGAAGGAAACTTGATCCATCCAGAACAACTGGTTTGATAACTTCATGCCCAAGTTGCAGAAAACACCCTTGCCTTAGAGAGATTCTGAACTAGTTTGTAATTACCAGGACAGACACTGCATAACTTAAGCATGTTAACTGTAGAACAAGTGCTACTGCTCATCTCAGCAGCACAATCAGTATATGCTAACACATGCTCCTAGAGAGAGATATCAGAGCCTTTCTGGTCCTTCATACTACCTTTCTGGCTATTTGTGCTGCTACTCTGCTTAGTCACAGCCTCAGACAACTTTGGAAGCCTTTCTAGAGAGCTTCAGCATCTCAGGTAGAAGGATCACATTCCACTTTCAGAGCAGTCTCTCGAAACAATGATCAAGACAAGAAGTCCCATTTCACAGTTCAGTTTTCTGGAAATGCTGCACAAGTTCTTGAAGTAGTTCATAAAATAAGTGTGCTGATAGTCAGGCCAGGAGTTAATGAAATACAGAACATTAACCGCTATTCCTTCCCTGCTCTGCTTCCCTCACCTGCTCCAGCATGGTCATAATAAATTCCGAGTTTCAGGTAATACAAGTGGATTTGTCCTAGAGACCAGTCCAAGGACCACAGACTGCTGTAGGTTCTGGCAGTAGTCCTAGCAAATCAAATAAAGGAACAGATGAGGACTAACTTCAGAAGAAGTAGCAGTCACAGAATGACCATCTCTACACTGAAGTGCTTCTAGTCAACTGGACAATAATGTGGACTTGAAAAAAGCTCATGGCATTCTCTCTATGTCTCCATGACAATACATTTAGCACTGCTACAGAGGCAACCAAAGCAACAGACTTCTGTTGTTCCGGTGGGTTTTTGTTTGGTTTTGTTTCGTTGGTTTTTACAGTGTCTCTTAACACTTTGAGAAGTACAGTTCCATCTGAGTAAACCAGTTACAGACCAGCACACCCACTTCATACATTCACACTCTTGTTTCAGAGGCATGGCTGATGGCCAGGACAGCTAGGCACTATGCTGTCTCCTGTCACAGACTGACTGGTAGACCTGTCCAGCTCATGGGGTTGGTCTCAAGGCTGCTGGAAATCCCCACATGCACAGAAGACTGATCCTGAGGCTTTTACTACATACAGGTATCTCATCTGTCAGAGCATACGGCACTAGAGCTCACAGCACTGTTGCAGGCCCAGAAATCCATAGCTACATTTTTCTTTTTTCAAAATGTTCACCTGACCTTCTGTACAACTGAACTAACAAACTCTAGACTACAGTCCTATCTACCATTGGCTATGAGGCTGATACAAAAACATCAACTGGACTTGCCTCTGAAGTCTGCCATCCACCCAAGTCTATTACTAAGGCCGTTCGCTAATCACTCCCTACTCCATTTTGGCTTCTTCCAACCCAAATCATTCACATAGAGAACATGAGCTAATAATGCACAGGTCTGACTGTGCATAACCACTTCTTAGCCCAGATCAAACAGGCTGGGAGATACAAGAGAAGCAATACTGGGCAGCAAGACACAGAAGCAGACATACTTGAATGGAAGCTAATAGAGCCAAGAGAAGAGACTACCACTCAGTTGCCCCATAAGCTCTTCACTCCACTCAGCACAACTACAGCAGGACTACTATTGACACTCATCAGATAAGTGTCTAGAACAAGCAGCATTTGTTGAAATGCTAAGCCAGATTTTGAGAACAGTAGCTTCTTGTGCTTTTACAGACAACATTTCAACTGAACAAACTCAACTAAATAATCCATTTCTTAAAGTAAGAGGTAAAATGAAAAGCTAATTCCTGCTTTCCATAAGTACACGGCTAGCAGCTGATGACTTGTTTGTCCTGCAGTGTAAGAACACGGGAGTTCTCGCTCCCATGTTCTTACACTGCGTGCTATGAAAATAAGAGACAGCCTGCTTTAAATGCAAGGTCCTTCCTTTAAGCACATCAGCTGAAATAAAGTAACAACATAGTACCTTTAACCCAAATACACCTGGAGCTCATTGAACTCATCATTCACATTTTTTCATGACAAAAAAAAAAGTACAAGCTAATTGCTAAACAAGCTAAGTACAGATTTTTGATGAACAAGCACTGAACAAGAAACAGCAGTTGCTTCTCTGGACAGTGGTTTGGACAGAGAACTGCACA